CATCGCAACTCAACACTCAAAACGAATGGATAAGATACGAAATGAGTATATTAGAGGAAGTTTGAGAGTAGCCCCCGTAGTAGAGAAGTTAAGGAGTAAAAGGTTAGCATGGTATGGGCATGTTATGAGGAGGGATGAATCGCATGTTACAAGGAGTACGTTAGATATGAGTGTGGAAGGGTACATCGGTAGAGTTAGACCTAGAAAGAGATGGATGGATTGTGTAAAATGATGATGTGATGTGAATGATCAAAAAGGGAGTGATGACTGAGATGACGTATGATAGAGTTATGTGGAGGACAAAAACCTGCCACGCCGACCCTACGGGAATAGGATAAGCAGATGATGATGATGAACTCAACACGCAAGTTTACATCCCACCGCATCCGAAGATAAACATTGTAATACCCTAGCTATATGTAAAGTCTAAATTCTACGGTAACAAACCGAACTAGGTGGAACTCTTAACACAATAACTATACTGGATTACAACAATAACTAGAACAATGAAAATAAAACATTCTTCACAAAACACTTTTACCTAATCAGCACTTAACATCAAAGCCTCATTTAACAGTATCAATTTATCTCACAATTTTAATAGAATAACTTAAAAAGTCATCAATTTGACTGGCATGTATGGAATTAGATGTACCTTAGTAGACTTTTAGAAACGAAGGATAGGATAAAATGTTTGTAAAATGTGAAATATAAATCACCTTCTATAGTAAGTGAGATGTCCCTCCCTGTCCTGCGAAGGCTGGTCACTCTTGTAGTAGTGCACGGCCTTGTCCTGGGGGTCCATCTTCGTAGCGCACGCCACGCACAGCTCCACCACGCCGGAGTAGAACCCGACTGATACCAGCTTGGAGCAGATTAGCGGCAGATTCACATTCGGTGCCACATCCTGGAATGTTAAATACATTTTTAATTAAAAAAATTCATGAAGTCCTAATTAACCATCCAAGGAAAATATAAATAAATGTTAAAATAGGTTAAATCTCTTAGTTTACAATAAATCAGACATGGGTACATACAAAACATTGCAATATTCTGCTAATTATAAAAAATACTTTATTTACCTTACACAATTTCAAAGCATGTTGTAACATTTCTTCTCTTTCTGCTGGATTCTTTTGTTGCTTAGCGAATATTAATAATTCGTTAGCCTAAAAAACAAAGAAACATATTAGAGTTTTGCTCTTACTTTTTTTTTTTACTATGTTTTCATTTTTCTTTGAGCATACCTTCGAGCAAGTAGCATCTTCTTGTCTATAAAGTGTAGGACAGAACTGTCGTAATTTCTGAGATATTCCGTCCACAGAGGCGTTGTCACGTAGATACCCGGCTACTAGGGATCCCAATAACAAACACGCCACTTCTTGTCCACCCACTAAAAGCTCCCTGAAACATGTATTTTATATTTTTTTGCTACATTTGTATTTAAATTCATAAAAATTATACTAATATTATAAATGCGAAAGTTTAGATGTATGGATGGAGGTTTGTTGAGTGGCCTAAACGGATGAACGGATTTCGATGAAATTTAGTACAGAGGGTAGTCTGGAAGAACACATAAGCTACTGAATTTTGTTTCTTTTTAATTCTACACGAACGGAATTGCGGGCGAAAGCTAGTAATTTATAATAGAAACCTGAAGCTGGCAGCCTGCAGTGCACTCTGCTGGTCGGGAGGCAGGCTTGCGGCTATCACGTGGAACTGATGCTCACACAGAACTTTCCAAAGACTTAACATTTCAATCGCCATCGCTGGAAACATACATAACATTAGCAATTAGGACTTTCTGTGCGATGTAATATAATTTGCACCAACTGTAAAAATACTACAAAAATGAATAGCAGAATATTTGTATTGAATTCGTGAATGGTTTGATTGTGTGGGACTGAATTTGAATAATATGTATGTAACAGATCTTACTATCAAATAGTTCGTGTGTAGGACAGATCTTAAACTAACGTATATTACGTAACTTTTGAATAATACGTGTGACACAGACGATACTTTTAAATAATTTGTGTGGCAGAGACGTTACTTTTGAATAATACGTGTGACACGGACGTTAGTTTTAAATAATTTGTGTGTGACAGACCTTACTTATGAATAGTTCGAGCATGTGTGACATTACTTTTAAATAAGTCGTGTATACTTACTAATGAAGAGTTTGAGTGCGTGCAGGGAGGCGTGCTCGTCGGTGTGCGGCGGGCCGAGCGGCCGCTGCAGGAACGCGGCGACGCGCTGCAGCTTGCGCACTATGTACGCGCAGTCCTCGCCCGTCACACGACTGCTCATCTGACACACATATTAAAATTACTAGATCAGCAACACATCTGCAGGTCTATAGGAGTTGAGGATATTCATAGATGTCTATTATCAATTAAAATAAGGAAAAATCATCCTCTTTTACCATAAAATATCACGAACTCAGGTTTATAATCTTAAGTTGCCTCGACAAACGAAATTAAAAAATATCTTTGTTTACTTACAAATTCTTTCTTATCAGGTGTGAGTGAAATCGTAACACATTTAAGATTCCAGATCGGGGACAATATCCTGCCAACATAAATATATAATCCATTGTGTTTCGCGCTGTACTCCACTTGTATTGGGAAGTTAGGGTCTCTCTGATGCTGGGTAACGTTGCCCATGAACGACGACTGGTT